TATTGCTCAATTTCAACATGATTTGGGGAGACTGAAAAAAGCAGGGACTGGGGCTCTCTCCTAACATATAAGAAATTTGGATTTAGAATTCCTTTGATCAACCACACCTTTGGCTATTTTCATTTATTTCTACTGATGTGTGTTGAGGTCCCCTTTCAAAATTCTTGATAACTGCATGCTGAATTCCCACCAAGGGTTCTGTAATCTTCAGATTCTCCATCTTGTGATTCGCTTCTAGTTTTAAAACCTTCCTTGAGGTGGGACTGAAGCCAGTAAGCTAAGAAACACTATTTTCTTCTGGCTTTGGTGTGTGTTGGCATGATATAGGTGGCATCATGACAGGATGCCTATGCATAGTATGCAGACAAGACAAAGAAGAATGGCGCCTTCTGTCTTCATCCTACGAGTTGATCTTTCTTCTGGCAAATCCCACCCTTTGTAGGTTCTAGGCGCGCTGGTCTTTGAAAAGGGAGACCCTTGCAAAGGATTTCAGTTCTACACATCTGCAGACATGTCTCCATCATAATGTCTATGTAATGGCTATAAAGAACTAGGCTCCAAAACTGTATGTATTTTTGGCTAGTGAGATTTGATTATGAATGTCCTATTTTGCAGATACCCATTACCCTTAGGAGGCTAGGTACAGGCATAAGGATAAAATATTCCTCCACTTTTCTTATTCAGCTATTTTATAGCCTTGGGACGGGGGTGGGATAGAGAATAAGAAATCACCTTAGGAAACCTCAGATGAAACAGAAGCACCCACCATTGCAACTATTTCTGTTTTGCCACTGACAAACACGACTGTCCCACTCCTTTCCTTGGAATAGAGTTGCGGTTTGCAAAATCCAACCAAGTTAACAAGGGACAACAGAATACAAAAAAGAGAAGGAGGGACCATTTGTCATAATGAGGCCTTGTGGGACGCAATTAATCTGCAACTGCTTGTCTTCAGTATTCCTTTAAGCCTTACAACAGTTATATAGTTCACTCCCCTTGAGAAAGACGGTTTTCTTAGACAAATCATTGCCAACAAATATTTCCACCCTCTCTCCCAACCCCCATTTTATAAATCTGTGTCACATAGGATGAACATGCACTGACACACCCTAGCTTTCTTTTAATCCATCAGGAGCAGCTGGTTGGATTCAGCTTGTAGATATAAAGAAAGAATGGTGATGCAGCAACTGCTATAGGAAAGACCCTGATGTTTTGATACAAAATCCAACCTGAGATGATCAGGCTTACTGAGAAGTTGGAGAAAGGGGGGTTGGGAGATCCTGCACTGGATGGTGGAAGTGCTGGGATTGAGTATCCTGTGCCAGGTGAACAACAGCCCAGCAATTATGTGAGCAAAAATAGCAACTGGACATTCCCCTGTGGAGGTGGCACTACTGCGTTCACAAGATTCAGGTTGGTTGATGGTGAGCAGAAAGCTATAGATGGAAGAAAAAGTGTAGGAAAAAGAAAAAGAGGAGCTGTTCGTGACATACCCTGACTATTAAAATGGAGAATGATTTGAGAGAGAAAGATCCAAATGAAAAGCGGCTGCCATCCCCTCAATTAAAGCTACTGAAAAAAAAGATCATCCCATATACGCCTAGTAAAATAAGTAAATAAAAGTAAATACCATAATATATCATAATATTACAGTTCTGTGGATGTTTAATGTGAGGGTAAACATGGTCTGAGAACTGGACACAATTGAACGGATTAAAAAAAAACACAGCACACATGATTTAGTGCTAAACGCAGAGTAAAGTAGAAGGGAAGCTAAAGTGTCTTCTCTGCAGTGTAAATATGCATTGTAATTCAATTAGAGAACAGAACAAGACCTGGAAGTGGTCAAAATCATCCATGAAGTAAAAACTGGAGATACGGTGGGGATTTTACTGAAGGGAGAAGTTTTTATCTCCAAAATAAACAAAATCAAGAGAAGGTGACTTTGATGGAGGCACACACAGAAGTGGTTGTCATTCCTTATATAATTCCACCCACAGATTGTCTCTTATCCTTGTGCCGTAGAGGGAATAGAGATTTTAGTTGCTGCAGGAGTTGAAAACAGCGGGATTAGAAGGGCGAACTCTTCCACAATACAATCCTATTACACATGCTTAATCAGAAGTAAGCCCCAATGAGTCCAATGGCTTTCTTCCAGGCAAATCCAGAAAGGATGATAGCATTAGCAACATAACAGCATAAGACGACCTGCACCTTTAAAATCAGCTTTTAATTGAGGGATATCTGAGAATGGAAATGATGGCCAGGGAAGAGAGAAATCTTGTATGAAAGAGGACTAACACAAAAAGTATCCACCTCTGAAGCAATAGGCAATAACTGAAAGCCTCGCAGTCCTATGTTCCTCATGCTTAGTTGCCCTTTGTTCAATTTAGGATTTAGGTCAGGATCCAGATTATGACATTCTATGACTCTGATAAATAGCAGTTCCAATGAATTCTCAAATAGGACCCAGGCAACAGCTGCATTTACTAAAAGGTGTGGCAGTTACAGGACCCAGGGTGAAATAGGAAGTTGCAGAAGAGCAGCCATTCCTGGCAGATGGCTGCCCATTAATTGGCAGGGTTTCAAACAAACATGGTTCTCATTCTGGTTTTATTTGTGTGAATTGCTGCTGCAACAGCAATTTATACTCAAGGGCACTTCTTACCTTTGTTAGTTCCACAGAACTAAGCAGCACATTTTTGGACACAACCTACAATGTATGTTTATGAGTGTGTACTTTGACATAAGGCAAGTGAAAGTCAGCGTGATATAGTGGTTAAGGTGTTGGACTATGCCTGAGGACACCCAGGTTCAAGTCTACCCTCATCTACAGAAGCTCAGTGGGTGATTTTTGGCCAGTCACTCTCTCTCAGCCCAACCTACCTCAGACAGAGGAGGAAATGCTATGTACACTTCCGTGTTCTCCTGGAGGAAAGGTGGGAGATAAATCAAGCAAATAAACAAACGAATAAAATATTAATTTTGCAGCCCAGATCGAGTAATTTAAAATCATACTTTTACTTCGCTCTTTCACATGTATCCCAAGTATGCTGCAGAACTGGAACTAGAATAGAAAAATAGGGAGAAAAAAAATAGGAGTATCTTGAAAAAAAAAATCACATTTTTGCCTGCTGAAAAAACAGACACTGTTTCTAGAGGCAACTCTTAGGGAAGATTCTGAAAACCAGATTTAACCGAGATTATGAATTCTGTATCAAATGCTTGTCTTGCACCTGAAGCAAGTCAAAGAGACCAAAGAGCAACATTAATGTAAATGGATTTGTTATATTTACATCTCACCTTCCCTCTGGGAGCTTATGTAGCATTCTGTCCTCAATTTTACTTCTACAGCAATCTTCTGATATAGAGGAGGCTGAGTTACCAATGAATTTCTGTGGTTGGGGGGATAAACCTGAATCTGGGTCTCCATGATCCATGACCAACTTAATGATTACATTACATTGGTGTCACCAGCAAGCTGTCCCTACATCCCACTTAGGGAGGCTATTATGATTCAATAATTAGTTATTTAAATCCTCCATCCATTGCCTATGAAATCAGAACTACCCCCCCCCCCACGTATACCTTTGTCATTCGTTTTTATTTTATTTATCAACTGCTTTTATTCTTCTGTATAATGCAGTGATGTGGGCCTGTACCAAGTTTCCCTGTTTAGCAACTCTGATAGATGCACAGGGTGTTTCAGAGCAAAGTCTCTAAGCACTTTCTATCCCTTCTCCAGCTTAAATGGGGATAGAAGGGGAAGGGCCTAATGAAAGTTTAATGATTCAGTCAATCTGGATGTATATGTACTGCATGTAGATGGGTGTTTTCCATGGTATGCATGGCAAAATGTGTAATTCTGGACACTTAGAGCCAAATAAATGTTATTCCTTTAAGATTTGTGTCTAAAAAAACCACAGAAACCTGGAGTAGTCAATCTGAATTCCGATCTGGTGGAAGATGGACATCATCCTTTCTTTCTATGCTAGAATCATGATTCTTTTGGGACAACAGGCCTGTTGCTCCCTTATTTATTTATTTATTTATTTATTTATTTATTTAAATTTAGAGTAATTAACACTTCTTGGGTGAGAGGGGTCCGCCCATCTCTGAAAGAGACCACTGTATAACCCCTGCTTAGGAAATCTTCATACAATCTGTTCTGGACACCTTTCTAGTTGTTTCTAACTTCCCCTTTTTGGAGAATGTAGTAGCAAAAGTGGTAGCACTGCAACTTCAGAAGACCCTAGAAAAAGCAGATTATCTGGACTGGTGGCAGTTGGGTTTCAGGCTGGGCTCAGCATGGAAACTGCACTGGTTGCACATGTAAATGATCTTTGGAGAGACTGAGACCAAGGGAGTATTATCCTTACTGTCGTCCTTGACTTCTCAGCAGCTTTCAATACCACCAGCCATCCTATCCTTCTGGACTGGGAACCGGGGGGTGGGGGGCACCATTCTTCAGTGGTTTTCCTGTTTCCTAAGGGGTCATCTTCAGTTTGGTGGGGTGGGGGGAAGAGAGATCTGCCTGGAAACCTCTACCCTGTGGGGTATCTCAGGGCATTACTATTCCCACTACTCTTTAATGAAGCTGCAGGGAGGACTCATTTGTTGGGATGGGATCAGGTATCATCAGTATGGTTTGGCTCTGAACAGGGTTGTACTCAGAAGTGGACTGCAACTTGGGGGTCCTCCTGACTCACAGCTCCTGTTCAAGGAGCAGGTCACAGCTGTGGCCAGAAAGGCTATTGCACAGCTCCATCTTCGTCACCTACTACAGCCATTCTTGGATCAAGAAGCCCTAATTGCAATAACTCATGCCAATTTATCTCCCACTTGGATTACTGTAACATGTTCCACATAGGGCTGCCCTTGAAAAGCATTCAGAAGCTACAGCAGGTACAAACCTAATTAATATTGCTGCCCCTTCCCTCCTGCCATCATTCACACTCTCCCTTCTTACTATTTTTAAAAGGAGTAATGGAAGCACTGACCTATATCACGCTTCTTATTATCAATGGAGATGAAGCATATGCACGGATTATTGGAGATGTACTGTGCCACCCAAGGGACATCAAGCTGGGTGCCAGCTTCATAAAACAGGCCCAGAGCATAGCGAGAGGAATAGCTCACAGATTCCAGCTGCTGCCTCCAACATTGGTTAATTACTGTGAAGGAAACAAAAATGAGACAATTATTTTCTCTTGGAGCATTAAGCCTGCAAATAATACTACAGTCAATCCACTTAATCCCTTTTCTAAAATAACATTTCTGTGTGTCAAGAACAGGCCATTCACATTGTTTTAACAACCTGCCCCACAAACCTAGCCTATGTTATGGCTGCACAAACATGTGTCAGAGTATTTCCTAAGCAGGAAATAAAGTGTGAAGATAATACGTGGCCATCAGAAAAAGAAAGATTAGGGAACCTCACTGAATAGTTAAGTCTGTCCTGGCAGGGGATTCTGGGCGTTGTAATTTCTAAACATCTATCAAGCCCCAGGTTGTGGAAGACTACTCTAAATGCTCACTAAATATTCCCCCATCTCACCTCAAAAGCTTTAAATTTTTTTATTATGCAAATCCTCAATTTGCAAATATATGTGCATGTGTAGAGGTTATGGGGGAGATGATTTTCTTAACATTTTCAAGAGATTTCTGGGGCAGATCTTTCAGGAGCATGGGACAGATAATTTTATCAGGTCTCCTTTTCCTGTGGCAACAGGTCTCCATAATTTAATGCATAAACAATCAAAATAAAACTGCACCAATATTTTAAAGCAGAAAAGCATACTATGGTTGAACTGAGCCTGTATGGTATAGCAGACAAGATGGTGGACTCACACTGGGGAGACCCAGGTTCATGTCCTCCCTCAGCTGTGAATGGGTGTGAATGTGAGACTGGGCTATGTAACAATGCGAGTCTAGTCTGAAGTTGCCATAACCTAAAAATGGAGCAATCACACATACTGAGAAGACAAAGGCCAGGAATCTTGTCAAAAGATCTCATCCGGAGGTAGATAAGAGGGAACCAAGTAGTTAAGGATCAAAGGAGAAATGTCATCAGAAAACAGGGGGCCAGGTGCTAAGCATATGGAACCCTCCCAATCCCATTGACAGCTACTAGACTTGTGGATCAACAAAGCAAGGGCTCAGATAAATCGCAGTTCTGAAGCCCATCTATACTTTTGGTTGTTCTGGGTCTGGATTTGGGGGTCTTCCATCCCTCTAGCTACTGCCTGGACAGCCTAGATGAGAAGAACGTGGGTAAGTGGGGATGAACATATGAGTGTGAGAGAGGGCAAAAGTACATTGTAATAATAACGTTTTGCTGCAACTTGGATCTCCGTGTATTCCACTGGAACCTGACATGCCTCAGTGTCTGGCTGAAAGTGATCTGTGTATGTTCCTAATTATTTCCTAGCTGTTGATCAGGTGTGTGTCTTGTATGCTCGAGTTGCGCCTATCTGGAAAGCCCAGATAGAGAGCAGGAGGCAGGGAAAGTAAGATCCATTTGCCTTGACAAGCTGCGTGTGCGCAAATGAGTGACCATAAGCTGAACCTGAGAATGCATTGAACAGACGCTCACTAGATAACTTTGAGCCAGTCACTCTCTCAGTCTAACCTACTTCATAGGGCTGTGGTTTTGAGGAAACATGGGACCACAACAGATGCTGTCTAGAGTTCTGGAAGGAAATCCAACGAACAGTTGAAGACACTGTGCCCTGGTGCAGGGTGGGAGACCGTGAGAAAGGCTCAAGGCTTCCAAACCAGTCTAATTTGAAAGTCAGTTTCTATGCCTTCCTCTCCTTTCCTCCCCAATCAGGAGTGAATGTTATCTTTTACTTGAGTCCAGATCCTTTTATAATTTCAAAAGAGAAAAGTTACTGAGAATCTGTAGGACCACTGAGAACTTTTTCCTTTGGGAAATAGGTTTAAGATTTGCAAACTAGAAGGCAAGGAAAAAAAATATATTTAGGACACAAGAATAGCCAATTAGCCAATATTTTTCTTCAGTTTATTCAATTGATAAAAAAACCTCTCTCCTCTAAGATGGGTATCTCACACTTTTAACATTCCAAAAAACAATGCAAGGATAGTATAATTACTCAAAATGTAAAATACTCCACTTTCAGGATGGAAGAACCCAACGTTGTCCCAGGTAAGGTAAAAAGAAACAGAAACTAATAAGTTAGCTGCATGATATTCTTACTTCTTCATATTATAAAAATAGCCTGCATAAAAATCTAAAAATAAAAAACTTACTGTGGAAAAACCTATAGCATTAGAAAAGAAAGTTCAGAACAAAAAATCACTAAGAAAAAGGAAATATAAAAAATATTTAAAAAAAGAAAAAGAAAAAAAAATCCTACAACTACGAGGACCTCCAGTGAAGGCATAACTAGACTCAGTATTCAGCTATCCCACCCCAAGGCAGAAAAACAATCCATTGTTAAATTTCATTTATTTAAAAAATGATAAAAGTAATCTTTCTACCTATGAAATTATTGAAAGGACTGATACTTCTTTTCTGTCTCTGAATACCTTTCAGATTTTATTTTCAAATATTTGGCAGCAACTTCTGGATCACAGGGATTTTCTCATACCAACCTCTAGGAGCATTAAAAAAATAAAATAAAATAACCAAAAGGAAAAAAAAGTCTTATCCCTTGCTGTCCAATGAACTTGATTAAACTTTTAATGCTAACTGAAAATCATTAATTTCTTGCCAACATAATCCAAACACATTGTTATATGAGAGAGCTCATATTGTGTTGTTCTCCTGAGGAATTCAACCCACTGAGTTAGGTCACTGACTGGATTGAGATCTTGCAGCAACTCTGTAAGCTGATTTGATTTTTAATGGATGGTTAGATCACAAAATGATTTCTCCATGAAGACCACCACAGCTGTTCATCTTGAGGAACATTTAGTATTCTGAGCTTCTTCCAATGTGAAAGACCTTGAATCTGGGTGAGTTTGTTTTGCCACATAATTAGCGTGAACTTAATCTGCCTTTTCCAAAATTTGAATTCCATTTTCATGAGGTCATTTTCTTTAATTGTCGAATTTCCTTTTGCAATGTAGCTATCTTTCAGTCAAGTACCTCAACTTTAACTATGCAGTTCAAAAGCTTTCTGTTTATAGATTGCATTACTGCAAAGTTTTCAAAACTAGAAAGTTTGTGGGGGGCACTTTTTTTTAGGAATTGCAGGTGTCAAAATAGCTGTCTAATCAGCCAAACTCTCAGCCAATCCAAGGGCCTCTCTGATTAATGCAGGTTTCCCAAACTTATCCAGCTCTTTTTAAAAGTCTTAATTAAAGATTTGCTATGCTCTGTCCAATGTGTAGCTTCTTCAGCAGGTGAGATGGAGGCGGGAGAGGACATTTCTTTCTTGCATTTATGAGACATATTCCCTCCTCCAGATTCTGAATTTAGTAGAAGATGCAGATAAAGTTTCCACTTACCAATTGCTTTTGACAACCAGTCTGATAAATATGTTTCAGCAGCCTACAGATGAAAGCCAAAAAACTACTCCTAACAATATCTCCTAACCAACATGTCTCTTGGCTGAGCATCTCCTTAGTCTCTCTGAAGGCCTGGATGCCTGCTCATTCCAGGCAAGCCAAACATCGGATATGCTCCAGCATAGGGAGCTTTAAAAGCCTACAGAGCCAACTGCTTTGTTTCCTTTATTACAATCCATTCCACGCACCCATTCCAGATGCCACAAATCAGTAAACTTTTTACCCAAATGGTGCAAAATAAGTTTATCTATGGGATCTATGAACCTTAAATTCCTCTTATGTAGAATTCTTTCAAGCAAAAAGAGTCAGAAAAAGCACAGCTCCATCCTCTGGTGATGTCACCACATCAACAGATATGCCTCCTGCAGCTCTTGAAGGTAGAAATAAAATACTTCTCCAGCCAAAAAGGTTCTTGACTAGCAACAGACGCTTCGCAGGTCCACTTGTCCGCTTTGTCCACTTTTTAATTGAAAGTGACTTAACCTGCACTTCTTCAACCAAGACATGAACTAAAACCCAGCTCTCTTTTGGTCTTTCTCTTTTCTAGGACACAGTTCTAAAAATTAAAATGCAACCAAAACAAAACAACAGCAACAAAACCTGCCCTCTTCTGCATATTAGGGAAAATGATGTCCCCAAAATGTATTAGGGTCAAGAAAAAGGCTTTTTAAAAAATGGTATCTTAGACAAAATTGGGTACAAAAGTGTGAAGGATGCATCGGAGGTATACCAACTTGCAGAAAAAAAAAGTCAGAACGAAACACACAAACCCTTAAAAAAAGGGGGAATTGGAAAAATAAGAAACTGAAAACATGTTTTCCTTATTCATGAGGAAGAACAAAGCTGGAAGTTTTTTTCCACAGTTGACTGGAAAAGGATGCTCCTTCTGAGTCACAGTGTAAGTTTATGCAGATTGTACAAATGCACAGCACAGACCTAAGACATTCAAAAAGAACCCATTTTTCAACAGAGCCGTACTGTTAAAATGTCTTTTTTAAAACAACAAATCAAATCAAATCAAATATTTATTACAATCATAGACAAGCACAGTCATTGCGATGTGTTACTGTACAGTAGTCAAGTGTGAGAGCTTGGATGAGTCTATTGTTAATGTCATCTCAGGTATGGATTTTTGTGTGAAAACACTAAGAGCTCAATTCTGTTAATGAAAACATATTTGAAAGCGGAGAATATGATTCCAGGTACTGTTTTCATATACTTTTAAGAATATGCTGTTCCCATAGATCTACTAGGCCAAACATGATTCTACTTGGGTATCTAATATAAAAATAAAATAGATCTTTGGTAAGCTGCCCTCATCTATTAGCCCCTTTCACAATACTGCATTAATCCTAGAAGCCTAATCTTACAGAACTAATGGCATAAATCATAACATAAAGGTGTACAAAGCTATCTGAATAACTGGCAGGTAGCATATAAATGCTAAACATTTTTAGTGTAAAATGTTCATCAAATTGTTTAGCATTTAATTTTTTATTTTATTTTTATTTATCTACAGCAAAAAGTCATACTGATTTCAATGGGGTTTACTCACCAGTAAGTAGATGTAAGAATTACACGTTATTTAGGAAGATGCGACTTTCCTTCCATGTACAATATATGTGAGTGAATCATGTGC